TACTTGATGTACCTTTCGGCTATGGCCTGGCAAACAGGGTTTTGTGTGTTTGTACCGAGCATTTTATTGCTATGTTATATAATGTGTATAGCCTGTAGATGAGTGCGGAATGATTATGGCTTTTCTAGTTTTGTGGCTGACTCGTAAGACTTGTGTGTAAGGCGAGTATGTGTGACTGTAGGGAACTTATGTACTGGGAGTTAGGTAAGAGTATGTACTTTGTTTTATCATGAGATTGTGATGTAGGTTTTTTCGGTTATCGATTATGTGTTGGTTGTGAGTAACCGATATATTTATATATTTATCATACTATTCTTCTTATTGTATTGTATTGTGCATTGGCAATGTCCCAGTATATTATGTAAATAGTGTATACCCGAAGGGATTATGGTTTTATTTATATTATTGAACCTGCTACAGGGGTCACCTACATGTTATGTTCTTGTTGTTGTTCTTGTGTACATAGGGTTAAGATTGCCCATCTTCTTAATGTTATGTTTTGTCACAAGCGATATTTTCTAGTATAATTGTGTAACCTCTTGTGTTTGTTAATATTGTGTTTATTTGCTATTGTACGTTCTGAGAGATTGTTTCAAAATGTGTTTATATACAATGTGTATCAACCCTAGTTTAAGGGTTTTTATGTTAAGCTATGTATTGTATTTTAAATAAAATAAAAAAAAAAAAAAAAAAAAATTATTATTTTACTACATGTAAACCACACAATAACCAAATTCTGTAAACTCAGCATTGTAATACTTATAGAGAATAAAGTTTGAATTTGAATTTGAATTTGAATTCTATTATTATTATTATAATCAAGGGGGAAGCGCTAAACCTGGAGGATTATACAGCGCCTGGGGGGGGGGATGTGGAAGGCATTCAGGCTTAATTCGGGGAACTGGAGCACAGATCCAATTCCCTAAATCAAGAGCCCCTCACCAACATCAAGGAACCTTCCTTGAGGGGATTTGAATTCTAGAGTTTTCAGGTAGGGTGTTCCAGATTTTAGGGCCCTCTCACAGAGACCTCCAAGAGCATGACAAAATTGATGATAATTAGCTAAACAAGCATTAAATATAGAGAATGCTGAGTATAACTTCGGTTTTTCAAATAGAAGTTTACGAAACATTGTCCAAAAGGAACTAGCAAACGAACTTGAAGAAAGTAGAACAGTACAAATAGGAATAAGCATATCCATTATCTATCATAATGAAATGTGTCGAGTGAAACATATCTTGTGTCCTTTTACCTAACATATCTATGGAGAAAGTGACAAGGTCAGCATATTGTAAGATGTTCTTATTGCTAGATCAGGGCTAGCCTGTATCTGTGGCAGTAAGGTTTGTTAGATGTCAATGATATAAAAGGCAAAACGTGTGAACAGAGACAGCGCCATACACTGGAACATTATATCCAACATCCAACCTTTCAGACATCTCCATACAAACCCTGCAGGGTATGGCAAAACACCTCATTATTAATGATAAGATATCTGAAATCTGGAAGTTGTATCCTCATTTTACATGGACTAGATGAACAAACTGTCTTAATAGAGATTGAAACTCAGCTATGACCAATTTTTTTTATTATTATTTTTAGTGGTAATGAGAAATAATTTTTTATGACTATTCCTTACTGAAAAAATAGTGGTAATTAGATATAATTTTTTTCAATGTATTTGTGGAAAATTGCATTTAGCTGAATGTATCATTATATACATAACAGTAAATGAACAAAGATAATTATTATTTATCAGTTAGACAAGTAGGAATTTGGGACACCTAGGTCGCAAAAAATGTCCCCCTTCGATACCTACCACTGTCATATCCACAAGTTGCTCTGGACCTATTAATTATAAATGAAATATACATCACCAGGAATGCTGGTAAATATATAAATTTGTGGACTGTATATTAAATTAAAAAATTATTATATATAAACACATACATAATAGAAGGAGAATATCTTAATCATAACACTCACCAATTTGATTGGAGATTAATGTGTATCATACTCAGAAAACCTCACTGTCTATCTATGAAAATAACACTGGCCAGGTTACTACATAAGACTTATCTGAGGTTCCTGGAGCTGTCTTGTCCAGTCGCCTGATATCTCAAGTTATGCAGGAATGCATATCCAACAATTTCGCCTCCTATTTGAGAGGTGTCAACCCAATTTTAACCTCTAGAGCACGAAAATTCTTCACATTATTAATTAACGTCTTACACCATTCAAACAAAATGGCGACTGACCATCTTTTAAAAATACACTTTTATTAAATACAATATAGGGCATCTATTTACCTATAAATTACCGTATTTCCGGAAAATATACAGTATTTTCCACAGTATTCCTAATTGTACTTTATATAACAACTTTGTGAAGTAATTGTACAATACCAAATGACAAATATTCTTTTCCGGTGATGTAACAACGCTCAGTGAGGTTTTACAAAGACCTATTGTGACCTCTGTAATTCTCATAAGACACATATATAGCAGTTACGTTTCTTTATTCTGAAACGTTTTTCCTACCGTGTAGGCAAAATGTTTCGGAATAAAGATACTTCACTGTTGCACATGTGTCTTACTTATCAACTTGTCGGTAAGAGAGATAAGATAAGATTTCGTTCGGATTTTTAACCCCGGAGGGTTAGCCACCCAGGATAACCCAAGAAAGTCAGTGCGTCATCGAGGACTCTCTAACTTATTTCCATTGGGGTCCTTAATCTTGTCCCCCAGGATGCGACCCACACCAGTCGACTAACACCCAGGTACCTATTTGCTGCTAGGTGAACAGGACAACAGGTGTAAGGAAACGTGTCGAAATGTTTCCACCAGCCGGGAATCGAACCCGGGCCCTCCGTGTGTGAAGCGGGAGCTTTAGCCACCAGGCCACCATTATCATATTACTTTATATCAGGCATCCTGTTATGTGTACTACCGCTCACAAGATGAACCTGAGGTACACAGTTAACTAGCCACTCAGGCGACACAGCTAAACTAACTAATAGAAGTAAGCCAGACAGTATGATGACAGAGGCTTTACACAAATAATCACCACCTACCAACAAGCTAAAGTTCCCCAGCAATTTGCTCTTTAGCTAAAGCTGGGATGTGGCTCCAATCGACCCCGTTTTTCCAGTCACCACTGCCTTTCCAGCCGTCTCCTGCCTGAAACCTGAAACCCAACCCAACACGCCGCCTGAACACCTCACACCGACACAACTCCCTGCAATATCTGTGCACAACTTGATGTATAGTCCTTGTGGCTTAGCGCTTCTTTTTTATTATAATAATAATGTGCACAATTTGCCCAGAGTGGACGGGGCACTCACCTTTATCACCCTTCCTCCTCCATCATCTCAACCCCTTCCCATATTTCCATTCTACCCCATCCTTCTTCCTTCCCCATCTTACCGACGCTCAGGTCAGTTTCAGTTCCCTCACATAGGAGAAAGAAACTTATGACGACGTTTCGGTCCGTCTCGAACCAGTAACTAGGGACACAATGTATGACTTATAATTGGTCCAAGTCGACCAGCAGTCGTGGGCTATTTATGTATTGTTCCAGCCTCGGTATTGTTCCTTTTTTAATCTTTCTTGACATTGACCTTATTTGCGCTATCTAATAAACTTTCTTAGAATCTGATTTTTTGGGGGTTATCCTGGGTAAGTTCCATATATGCTGCTATGAATGATAATTTATGTAACTGTATTTATGTGTACTTGTACCTGAATAAACTTACTTAAGGTCATCCTTAAACATTAAATATATGCAGGAAACCTAAACAGGGCCCTAAAGGACCCCAATGGAAATAAGTCACTATCTGACTTTTTTGGGTTATCTTAGGTTCTCTACACATATGCTTTTATGTATGATAATCTATGTAACTGTATTTATGTATACCTGAATAAACATACGTACTTACTTAAATAAAAATGTAAAGTAAAAGGACAGAAGTACAACTAATGTGACATTTTATTGTGGCAACGTTTCGCTCTCCAGGAGCTTTATCAAGCCATTACAAACAATACATGGACATTTATACCTTTCTTGCACAATACATGGACACGGAGGGTATATAATGTATTATTACTACTACTACTACTTTTGTCACTACTACTACTACTACTACTACTACTACTACTACTACTACTACTACCACTAGTATTGCACCTCACTCTGAGCCTATATATACCCTCTGTGTCCATGTATTGTTTGTAATGGCTTGATAAAGCTCCTGGAGAGCGAAACGTTGCCACAATAAAATGTCACATTAGTTGTACTTGTGTCCTTTTACTTTACATATTGTCGGTAATTCTACCAACTTTATTACAATAAATAAAAATGCCTTGCGTAACCAGTGGCTGTGTATTAAGGTTGTAATAAATGCTACTTAGTTTTGTAATCTCTGTAACCTCTTTTTCTGGAAATAAATTTTTTAGCTTTAGTGTCACTTTCAATAGATATTGTTCAGTTTCAATTAATGGAAATAAATCACTTTGTCTGACTTTCTTTGGTTATCCTTGGCAATCTACGCATATGCTGCTATGATTAATAATTTATGGAACTGTATTTTTATGTACCTGTACCTAAATAAACTTACTTACATACATACATAATTAAGGGGCACGTAAGTTCCCCCGTCTTCTAGTAACATGTTCATTTTTCCATAATTACTATCACATTTATTTTGTCTGTTTCGTAATGTAAAGTCCAGGATCTTTACTTAATTCATGGTATAACTAAACAAATCTTTGAGGACAATTGTGTTTGCTCAGACCTCTGCAACACAACTGTCCTCAAATATTTCTTAAGTTATACCATGAATTAAGGAAAGTTCCTTCACCTCACCTTACGAAACAAAGCAAATGGGATAGTAATTATGGACAAGGCAGATTAAAGTGTAAAAATGAAAATGTTATTAGAAGACGGGGGAACCTAGGTGCCTCCTAAGGGAAGGTGAGGGAATGCTCGCCCTCCAGTCACCCTTAACAACAATATAGGAGTTGAACAATAATTTTTAATGATGGCTGGCCTTGCGAGGATGAGGATTTTGAGTTTAACAAGACAATTAGCAAGTTTGTGGACTACTTTATTTTGGTTTATGTACTAGAAGAGTGCCAGTATATGTAAAATAAGCATAGAAAATATAACGAATATGAGGGCGTCATGTTGATAGTGATTTACGTTTTACATATCCGTCATGGTAGGTGCCTTGATGCCGGTGAGAGCTCGTGATCCAAGGAATTTGGCCTATCTTCTCGAAGGAAGTTCGTTGATGCCTATGAAAGGCTCTTGATTCAAGAAATTAGCTCTGTCCTTTGATCGAACCTGATTGTCTCCATTTCCCCACGGTTTTAGCGCTTCCCCGTTAATATAATAATACCCTGTAAATATTTAAGTTTTTCAGAATGTGAGTGTAGCAGTAATTATTTTTTAACCAAATCATCCAAAGTTACCATGGTTAAAAAAAAAAAAAAAATACGGAAACCAAGTGTTAAACAGCTGCACCAAATTTCTTGTGGAGTTTTTTTTTTTTGGGGGGGGGAGGGGGAAGGTATTAGTAACAACAATACATTTATTTTGGTTGCACAGCACTTCTTTGCTAATTGACGAGTAGTATTGAGTTGTCGCGACCCAGACCGAATATTAAGAGAGACATATCTGTCGATGGTGGAATAAGGTTAAGTTACATTAAGTAAGTTTATTTAGGTACAGGTATACATATATATTGACACATTATCATACATAGTAACATGTTTAAATTAACTAGGATAACCTGTAGGGTACTGGACTAGTGATTTTGCTGGATTACAGAGTGGTTTGGTTAGAATACACTTAACCTAATGGCAGTATTTACGCATCGGGAATTTTGCCCACTTTACGCCCTATTTTTGGCCCATTCCATTGTTTCGGTCTACCATACTCATAGTTATTTTGCTAGTATTCCTTCTATTCTGTCGATTGAGTATAAGAAACTGCCCATTTACCTATTCCAACTACTCAGTAGTGGTCAGAAATTGATTGGTTTCACGATGAAAGGTACATACCTTGAAATTGAGCTCAAAGTAGCGGAAATGTTCGATTCTTTGGCAATGTTCAAGAGTAAACAAATGACATCACCATCCAATATGTGTCCGATTGGCAAGTCTAATATGTAGTCATGAATGGCTTGACATTATTATACAATTATTATAATAATGGAGTAGTCTGCATAACAGTAAATCTTCTATTTTTTGTGCGAATAAAAATTCCAAATGGTAAGCAAGAGTAATATAAGAGGGGCCTGGAGACATGACTAATGAACAAAGAAAATGTTATTTTAGAGCCAGGAATGTCTGCATTGTTTATTCTGGTAAATATATTTTTTCTCAGTTGTTTGTTGGGCTATCTTATTGAAACTTGGGCAGTGCATAATGGAAAGATGATTCTTAATGTACACCAAGAATGAAAAAAATCGTACAGTAAATAACTGAGTTCACTTCTCAGCCATTAGCCGCCCCTTAGCTGTATATTTTCGTATGGTTTTTATGGTTGTATTCTCGTTTTTTTTGGTCTCATTTGATAGAATGGAAGATATATTACAGAAATAGATATGATTTTGATTGGTTTCACGAAGAAAAGTAGTACCTTGAAATTGAGCTCAAAGTAGCGGAAATGTTCGATTTTTGCCAATATTCAATGAACTTTCTTATGTAAGTCAGGTTGGTTAACTTTGTTAAGTGTATTCTAACCTAACCACCCTGTAATCCAGTAAACTCAATAATCCGGCACACTACAGGTCCCAATAATGCCAGATTTGTGATGGTCAACCTGCATGTATACCATATGTTATTTACCAGTCAATCGTCTTTTACACTGTTCAGTATCTGGCATCATTTTCTGAATGTTTTGCGTATACAAAACATTAGTATTTTTTATTGTGGGTTAGAGTAAGTTACATAACTCTGTAAATGGATTTATTTAGCCCCAAGTAATCAAGTTAAAAGAATGGTCATGACAAAACTGACTGCAGGTGTGTCAGCTGATATTTACAACATTTAAATCAATATTCACAGTATTTAAATCACCACTCACATCATGCATGGTATGAGGACTGGGTGCATTTAGATATTCAGTATGTACATACAATATGAACAATTTAAATATATCATTAGCTTTCACAAGTAGTAATCAAACACTTCATATAACACGTATAAAAATAGTTCATACTGTATATATCTGCCTACGTGTGTGTGTTATAATGTTACAGTGTATTATACCATACTAGTGTTCACTATTAAAAGACAGTCTTTTGTGCAAATCATAAGAAAATTTAGTAAAATTAAAAAAGAGGGCACAGCTACTGTCATGCAAGTTCTAGACACAGATTACATTACAAAGTCATTTATTTCAAATAGTCTGGAACACTCTTGATAAAATTCAATATTACACGTTGTCTACTCATTCATGGTACAGCATTATGTTAGTATGTACTTACTGCATTGAAAAGTCTTATTCCTCTATTTCTGCTGTTACACCTGCAAGTCAGGTGTAACAGCAGAAATAACACCATCTGAAATAGCAGAAATAACACCAGCAGAAATAGCAGAAATAACACCTGCTGTTCCCACTCAGGGAACTTAAACAAGTGGATGAAGGGAAATGTTGCTGTATTCCATAGGGCAGATGGGTGAAACTGTATGGTCGGGCTGCCCATCCCAGGGAACATAAACAATATACCCTTATGTATAACAACCACTATAATTTATATCAGTAATTTGAATCTATATCAACAAAATAAAATTGATGCGAGGCTGCAAGGCTGTCTTTCAGCTTTTGTAGTGCTTGTTGACTTTTATTCCAAAGTCTTTCAAAATCTGAGCAATGGTAGTATTTTCATTAATGGTAGTTTTGTAACATGACTTAATTTTAACTGATGTATTTGATTACAAAAATGGCAAATATTAAATTATCTACAAAATTTCCAACAACCTCTTAAAGTGTAGCTATTTCTTTGTGCTTCATTCACAGGTTTGGGGCTGGGTGGAAGAAGACATACTGGTAGCAGTGCTGTGCCGGCAAAAGTTCTTCCCTATAGGAAAACTCGTGGTGATGATGATGATGTAAACATGCAACAAATTCCTGATGACTTCAGGTATTTCCTTACTTTATTTTATTATGGTAGTAAATTAAGTTTTCTTACTTCATAAATAAGGTGATGTACAAGAGTCAGATGTATTAAAATAGCTGTAATACATGATAATTAGCATTGGTATTAAAAGATATGTCCACAGTGGACCCCCGGTTTGCGATGGCATCGGTATCCGATAAATCCGGTATTCGATATATTTTAATGCAAAAATTTTGCCTTGGTTCCCATTAAAAAACCCGGTATATGCGATTTGTCCAAGACGTGTCCATGTGTGGCCCAGTGTTTACAAGCCAGCCAGTGTGCTCGCATCTAAGGATGCATTCGGTACATTCCATATTATCACAGTGTTTTTGGTGCTTGTTTCTGCAAAATAAGTCAACATGGGCTCCAAGAAAGCTTCTAGTGCCAACCCTGTGGTAAAAAGGGTGAGAATTAGTATGGAAATTAAGAAAGATTTTGAAAGGTTTGGGGCTAACCCTGAGAAACCTATGCCGGTTGTGGAATCCATTGTGCCTACTTCAAAAATTAAGGAAATGTGTGCAAAGTGGGTTGAACTGCAAACCTTTATGGATGAAAATAACCCAAACACAGCTATTGCAAGCCGTGCTGGTGACTATTACAATGACAATGTTGTGGCCCATTTTAGACAAATCATAAAGGAACGGGAGGTACAGAGCTCTATGGACAGATTTGTTATGCGACAGAGGTCCAGTGACTCTCAAGCTGGTCCTAATGGCATTAAAAGAAGAAGGGAAGTAACCCCGGAAAAGGACTTGCTACCTCAAGTCCTAATGGAAGGGGATTCCCCTTCTAAACAATAAGTTCGACACTCTCCCCTCCTCCCATCCCATCAATCATCACCAGATCTTCATTAAAGGGAAGTGTCATGTATTCTATTGTTAGTAGAGTACTACAAACTGTGCATGTCTTCTTCAGTTTGTGTGCATTAAACTTAATATTTCATGTGGTAAAAAAAAATTTTTCATACTTTTGGGTATCTTGCACGGATTAATTTGATTTCCATTATTTCTTATGGGGAAAATTGATTCGCTTTTCGATAATTTTGGTTTACGATGAGCTCTCAGGAACAGATTAATATCGCAAACCGGGGGTCCACTGTATATGGCAAAAGAACTTTGTCATCCTTTTTTTGGTTGCATTTGAAGCAGGTTATAGCTAGAATTAAGAATTATAGGGGCCCCATGGCAATTGGCTGGCTTGTGGGGGCTGCAGAGTTAGCAACTTGCTAAGAGAGGAGTCCCATGTCACAAAAACTTCATTGTTGAACCTTGTCATGGGAGGCTTCTTGATGCTGGTGAGGGGGGTTCCTGATCCAAGGACCATGTCTCCCTTTCTTTGCAGCGAACCTGATTTCATCTTATTTCCCAGGTTCTGTTTGACCCCTACTAGTTTGGTGTAATAATAATTCATTGTGAAGCTAAATACTGGTGTTATTGTGTAACATGTCAACCAGTTTTATATTTGTTATCCCCGAAGAAGATATAATTTATTTGACGGCTTTGATGCTTTTGTTCTCTTGGAATTTTTCATTGAGTCGGTTACTATAACTGAAAAGCATCTAAGTAGTTAAATCTAAACTTTCACTTCTGGCATATGTCTTTTTTTTATACAATATTGTTTGTAGCATTATTGGTCAGTTTTAGTGACCAGCAAACACTTTTATTTAATAGACATGGTTTCAGATAAGATGATAAGATAACAGATTTCATATCATAAATTTCAGGGTGGTGTTCCCAGAGTTTTTGCCTGATCCAAAACCTGAATGGAGAAACAGACTTCGTGAAAAGCTGGAACGACAAGATATGTTGGCTCGCAGGGCAGTCATGGCAATCCCTGAATTTTACGTTGGTGGGTAACCATCATTTTAATTTTTAAGCAGTAGAAGCCTGTATAAATTACTCAGTAGTTTTGCAATAGCAAATGCCCAATGATGTGTTTGAAGTACAGGTCGGCCATCACTAATCCGGCATCATTGGAACCTGTGGTGTGCCAGATTAGTGAGGTTTGCCAGATTACAGAGTGGTTAGGTTAGCCTACCAATAGACTTTCTGCTACATCTTCCTCATTTTCATCACTGCTTTCTCCTCCACTGGCTTGCTACAACCATCTGCACAATTTCAGAGTCAGTATAATGATGAAATTTGAGTCAGTATAATGATGAAATTTGAGTCAGTATAATGATTTGAGTCATTATAATGATAAAATTTAAAATTATGCTAGCCGAAATTAGTGCCGGATTACTGATGGAACTGGATAACTGATTGCTGGATTAGTGATGGCCAACCTGTACAATTTTCAACATACAGTGGAACCTCTGGTCACAACCATAATTCATTCCCAAACTCTGGTTGCGACCCAATTTAGTTGTGACCCGAACCTAATTTCCCCATTGGATTGTATGTCAATACGATTAATCCATTCCAGACCACTACAAACTGTATATAAATATTGCTTTCTTAAGATTTTTAAGCAAAAAAATAGTTAATTATACCATAGAATGCACAGTGTAATAGTAAACTGAATGTAAAAACCTTGATTAACCCTGAGAAAACCTTGAACAACAGAGAAAACTAACATTGCACGAATCCGTTCTAGACCCCTACGAACCGTTTGCTGTAAGGGACGTCTAGTGGCCAAGAAGTGAACTCCTTTATTTATTGACCGATGTCTTTCATTTTTGGTGTATGTTAACCCTTTCAGGGTCAACAGGCCCTCTCAGAGACTTGTTCTCAGGGTCACCCAAATTTAAAAAAAAAAAATTTTTTTTTTCTTATGAAAAGATAGAGAATCTTTTCCCGATCATAATGACACCAAAAGTATGAAATTTGATGGAAAACTTATGGAATTATGCTCTTGCGAAGTTAGCGGTCTCGACGATGTTTACGCATCAGCGATTTTGCCCACTTTGAGCCCTATTTTCGGCCAATTCCACTGTACTAGTCGACAAAAATCATGAATATTTCGCTAGAACTCCATTTTTTCTTTCAAATGAGTGCAAGAAACCACCCATTTACCGATTTCAACTATCCAATACAGTGGTCAGAATTTAGCAATTTTGCCAATTTCACACAAATTTCAAAAGATGCCAATTTCCAAATAGGGTCCAGAATAAACAAGAAAGATATTCTTGGCACTAAAATGACATTTCCTCTGTTCAATAGTCACATCCCAATGCCCCTCTTACATTCTTTTGCTTTCCACTTTGAATTTTTATTCTCACAAAAAATAGATTTACTGTTATGCAGACTACTGCATTAGTGTAAAAAATGGTATAAATAATATCGGCGCACTTGTGAAAGAATATTAGACTCACCAGTTGACGTGTATTAGATGCTTAGCATGATTTGTTTACTTTTGAACTTTGGTAAAAAACGAACATTTCTGCTATTTTGAGCTCAATTTCAAGGTACTTTTCATTGTAAAATCAGTCAGAATCATCTCAATTTCTGTAATATGTCTTCCATTCTATAGAATGAGACCAGGAAAACTAGAATACAACAATAAATACCATACAAAAATACAGTGCAAAGTCGCTGTTTTAATTCAAAAACACGGTCAAAGTTTTTTTTTTTCTCATTACGCACTGTGTGCTGCAGGATTTTTTTTATACTGCACACACTGACCACATAGACCCATTCTTTCATATGTAGGCCTGCCAGCTTTCTCTCACTAGATTTGAGGGCGCTAGAATTTAGGCGTACTAGTATGTCAAAAACCCTTGTGCATAAGCCGTACTAGTACGGCCGAAACCCTGAAAGGGTTAAGAGGCATCTTTCCATCATGCACTGCCCAAGTTTCAAAGAGATAGCCCAACAAACGAGAAAAGAAATTACAGTGGACCCTCGAATTTAGTAGTCCCTTTTCTGTATGCAAAACTATTGTTATTCTCTATAAAATGTATTTTTTGTTAATATTTTTGGGTGTCTGGAATGGTTTAATTGGATTTACATTATTTCTTATGGGAAATATTAACAAAAAATACATTTTATAGAGAATAACAATAGTTTTGCAAACAGAAAAGGGACTAGTAAATTCGACGGTCCACTGTATTTACCAAAAATTATATATGGCAAGCCCTAGCCAGGTATTGGCACTGTGAGAAGCTGTTTGTGCACTACCTGCTGATAAAACATTGCTAATCTGAATTTATCACAGTCGTATTTACTGTAATTTATGAATGACTTCCGAGATAATCAACGAAAACGGGCATGCACTGACAAAAAAGAAAAATTGAGAAAATAAGTCACTCTGATTTTTTGGGGGGTTATCCTATGTTCTCTACACACATGCTGCTATGTATGATAATCTATATAACTGTATTTGTGTATACCTAAATAAACTTAGCTTTATGGCGCATTACGAGTGTATATCACAGTTAGCACTGTACTACACTACGTTTTCTCTAATACTTGTATAAGTACCCAGGAGGGGATAAGAGGATGGTACTTTATTCCTTATCCTCGAGTTCACAGCGAATGAACGCACGACTAACTGAGACCAACTACAAGCTAAGGGTCTTTGTTAGGTGTACATAACAACTGAAAGTATGGAAAATTGGCGCATGCAAAAAAAAATGGCAAAAAATGTGAAAATTGGCACGGCTATATTTGTTTGGCACCCGATTATGTGTTTGTGACCAGGTGCAAAAATTTGGCGAATTTTTTGGTCGTGAACCAATTTATTTTTGTTCGGAAGCATTTGTGACCAGAGGTTCCACTGTATGATGCTTTTGGCAGTAGGTGCCAACCTGCCTTCTTTTAAACACACAGACCATTTATTCCCAAAGAAAGGTGGCCCAAAATAAACACATGAACCATCACTGAATCCATAGCTGTCTTTTTTGGAAGTACATTGACATCACACTTCAAATGATTCATTTAATTATATCATCTTCACCCAACCCTCTAAAGTACAGACCCATGTCTATTTGAGTCCAGCTGACTGGTTTATCTGAATACCTTTGTAGATATTATCGTACTCTCACATTAACAGCACATCAAATATCCCCTCCCCCCCAAAAGAAAAAAAATTGTATCATTCTTACATGTATCTGCTAAATACTCCTGCCACTTCCACACAAAAACTACCTTCACACCCTTCTTTTTTAGGATGTTTCATACACCTTCCATCCTCTCCCGATATATACAACCTCTTGCTCCACCTACCTTGCTCCATTTTTTGTAAATGACCAAACCATTTCAACAACCACTCCTTCACTTTCTGAATTATACTTCTTATTCTACCACACCATCTTCTAGATTTTTAACCTTTCCTTCCCTCTATGTATTCACACCAAACATTGATCCTAAACATGGCATTTCCACTGTACTCAGCTTCCCTCATTGCAACATTCAAAGACCTTTCCTCACACCTGTACAAAGGTATTGACACTACTATGCTCTAAAACACTCTTATTTGAACATCCAGTGATAAACCTTTTTGTTCCCATAAACTTAGCAGGACAGCCTCTCCTCACTTAGCAACATACTCGTTTACCGACGCCTCAGACTTACGATGGGCTCTCTAACCAGTATTCTTACCTAAATAATGTATATTAGAGCTGATTTCCTCTATTCTGTTTATTTCAGTATACAGTACACTACTGTATAAATATTTAAAAATATGCCAGAAATGTTATAAATGATGCAGAGGTGACATTAAAACAATATCAAAGCTAGTTGACATAAACCCACTACCATTATAGTGTGCTCCTCACTTAGCGACAAATTAATTTACCGACGTGGTCTTAGGAACGGAACTCCATCGTTAAGTGAGGAGAGGCTATACATTAGGTACTATAGCACCTTCTTTCTTTCAACAAACTGGCCGTATCCCATCGTATCTCCTTTTAAATTTAGTAATACAGTAGACCCTCGACCAGCGATATTAATCCGTTCCTGAGAGCTCATCGTTAATCGAAATTATCGTTAGTCGAGTTAATTTTCCCCATAAGAAATAATGGAAATCAAATTAATCCGTTCTGACACCCCAAAGTATTGAAAAAAAAAATTTTTACCACATGAAATATTAATTTTAATACACACAAACTGAAGAAGACATGTACAGTTACATGACACTTACCTTTATTGAAGATCTGGTGATGATTGATGGGATGGGAGGAGGGGAGAGTGTTGATCTTCTTAGTGTTTAGAAGGGGAATCCCCTTCCATTAGGACTTGAGGCAGCAAGTCTTTTTCCGGGGTTACTTCCCTTGTTCTTTTATTGCCACTAGGACCAGCTTCTGAGTCACTGGACTTCTGTCGTACAACATATCTGTCCATAGAGGCCTGTACCTCCCGTTCCTTTATGACATTTCTAAAGTGTTTCACAACATTGTCAGTGTACAGGTTGCCAACACGGCTTGCAGTAGCTGTGTCAGGGTGATTATCATCCATAAAGGTTTGCACTTTAAGCCACATTGCACAGATTTCCTTAATCTTAGAAGTAGGCAACTTCTTCAATTTCTCTATCCCCTCCTCCAAAGCAGTTTCCTCAGGTGTGGCCTCATGCTGATGAAGATGATCTAGCAGCTCATCAGTGGTTAGTTCTTCATTGTCCTCCTCCACTAACTCTTCCACATCCTCCCCACTAACCTCCAACCCCAAGGACTTCCCCAATGCCACAATGGATTCCTCAACTGGCATAGGATTCTCAGGGTTAGCCTCAAACCCTTCAAAATCCCTTTTGTCTACACATTCTGGCCACAGTTTTTTCCAAGCAGAGTTCAAGGTCCTCTTAGTCACTTCCTCTCAAGCCTTACCTATAATGTTTACACAATTGAGGATGCTAAAGTGATCTATCCAAAACTCTCTTAGAGTCAGTTGAGTTTCTGAGATCACTACAAAGCACCTTTCAAACATAGCTTTTGTGTACAGTTTCTTGAAGTTGGAAATGACCTGCTGGTCCATGGGCTGCAGGAGAGGAGTGGTATTAGGAGGCAAAAACTTCACCCTAATGAAGCTCATGTCCCTAGAAAGTCGCTCTGCCAAGTCTGATGAAGGTTGAGGTTAATCATAGAATTGATGAAGGAAAAAAGGTGAGTGGTGCGTTGAGGTATATGTGGAGTCAAAAAACGTTATCTATGGAGGCAAAGAAGGGAATGTATGAAAGTATAGTAGTACCAACACTCTTATATGGACATGAAGCTTGGATGGTAAATTCAGCAGTGAGGAGACGGTTGGAGGCAGTGGAGATGTCATGTCTAAGGGCAATGTGTGGTGTAAATATGCAGAAAATTCGGAGTGTGGAAATTAGGAAAAGGTGTGGAGTTAATAAAAGTATTAGTCAGAGGGCAGAAGAGGGGTTGTTGAGGTGGTTTGGTCATTTAGAGAGAATGGATCAAAGTAGAATGACATGGAAAGCATATAAATCTATAGGGGAAGGAAGGCGTGGTAGGGGTTGTCCTCGAAAGGGTTGGAGAGAGGGGGTAAAGGAGGTTTTATGGGCCAGGGGCTTGGACTTCCAGCAAGCGTGCGTGAGCGTGTTAGATAGGAGTAAATGGAGGCGAATGGTACTTGGGACCTGACGATCTGTTGGAGTGTGAGCAGGGTAATATTTAGTGAAGGGATTCAGGGAAACCGATTATTTTCATATAGTCAGACTTGAGTCCTGGAAATGGGAAGTACAATGCCTGCACTTTAAAGGAGGGGTTTGGGATATTGGCAGTTTGGAGGGATATGTTGTGTATCTTTATACGTATATGCTTGTAAACTGTTGTATTCTGAGCACCTCTGCGAAAACAGTGATAATGTGTGAGTGTGGTGAAAGTGCTGAATGATGATGAAAGTATTTTCTTTTTTTTTTTTGGGTCACCCTGCCTTGGTGGGAGACGGCCGACTTGTTGAAAAAAAAAAAAATAGTAGTGATGGTTGATTGGGGTTTACTATACAACCTGACCAGCTGGGAGACACGCACTCCACTTTCATACTTAGCAATGATCTCTTTCTTCATCTCCATAGTAATTCTCACCCTTTTTGCTGTAGGGTTGGCACTAGAAGCTTTCTTGGGGCCCATGGTGACTTATTTTGCAGGTGCAATCACTACAAAGGCTGTGATAATATGAAATGTTCCAATTGTATGTTTGGAAGCGACCGCGGTGGCTGGCTGGCTTGTAAACACTGGCACCCATGGGACAAGTGAGGCACGCTCAGGCCAAAGTGGATGCGTCTCGAACGGAACGAATAGCGTTGGTCGGGTTTTTTAGCGCTAGTCGAGGCAAAATTTTTGCGTTAAAATGTATCGCTAGTCGGATTTATCGTTAATCGATGCCATCGCTGGTCGAGGGTCCACTGTATATGCAAGAGAAGGGGTTACTAGCCCTTTGCTCCTGATAGTACCTTCTTATCCTGTATCCTAATAAGCAACAACAGTCTGGTTGATCAAGCAGTCATCAGGGAAGTCTGGCCTCAGGCTGAGCTATGTAAGCAGAACTGTCAAAACCTTTGTTAGGTATATCTCCTTGTCTGTACTTTTGTGCAATCTAAGTCAGGGTGATATTCCAATAATACTGGATATAATGTTAACCAGCATAACTGAGAAATGTGTTATTGTGTAACCTTCCTTTGCGTAAACTTTTATTTCATAAGAAAATAAAAGTATATGGGACTTACCTTAATGTGTGCATAAACAAGTACAGTAAAATGTAGATCTACATTTGTTCGTAATTAATATTTTCATTTTGGGTTTTTCTTTTTGGGTCACCCTTCCTCTGTGGGAAATAGCCAACGTATTAATTTTTTTTTTAATTAGAACTTAATTAGTTTGGAAAAGTAAAAAAACAGTGCTTAAGTTGTTGGTTAATCATACCTGTGTCAAGTGTTGAGGGTTGTTGTACCCCACTGCCAAACTTGAGGCTAGAATTCTTTGTTTATGGCCTAATCAAACAGGCTGTTGCTGATAGTGGCCTGCAGGTCTTCATAGCTATTACAGCCTGGTTGATAAGGCACTTGCAGAAGGTAGTGGTCCAGATTCTTCTTGAAAACTTCTCTCTCTTACATTGTATCTTGCAGGTTCCATAATGGGTGTGACTGTTGCGGATCCCAATGCTTCAGGAAAAATAAATCGGTTTGTTGGGATTTGTATTCAGCGTGGCGGAACGGGCTTACGAGCTTGGTTTATTCTTCGAAATGTTATTGATCATCAGGGTAAGGAAATCATTTGTATTATTTATCTATATGAATTCTAAGAATGCTAATGATGCATTTAGATGAAATGTGTATTTGATATTTTTTCCATTTTAGCTATTAACTGTTTACCTCTGCATTTACTGACATTTTCTCTCACTACTTCACTGGACCCATGATAAACCTATCTCTTATCATTTAATGGCATTTTCTCCTTAACTCTTTGAGTCAAATCATCTAAATTTTAACACCCTGTTAACTGCTAATAGCCATGCTTCATATCATATCATGCCTTATTTCCTCTCATTGGCTCAAAATGAGCTTTGAAACACATGCATTTTGCAGCTTCTTGAGAGAGACTCAGGTAGTAGGTTGCTGAAAGCAGCTTTTGCAGCTTCTTTAGAAATATTCATGTATAGTAGATTACTGAAAGTAGTTTAAGGAGTTTATATGTGGAGTGAATGAGAGGCTCATCTTAGGAGAGAAGGGATTATTTTATAGTAAAAGTAGGTTTTATTCAGGGATGTGTGATTTCATCATGTTCTAAAGTACACTTTTATATTTGTGTGAGGCATGAGTTTGAAACATTGTAGTGGGGATATCATGTTTGAGAGCCATGTGTGGTGTGAATTTTAATGCAGAGAATTTGGATTGTAGAAATTAGATGGTGTGGGGTTTTCAGAGGTATAATTTAGAAGGTTGAGGAAGGGTTGTTGAGGTGGTTTGGGCATTTAGAGAAAATGGAGAAAAATACATGTATAGGATGTTTATATCTGGAGTGGAAGGATGGACGGGTATGGGGTCATTCCAGGAATGGTTGAAGGGAGAGAGTAAAAAAGGTTTTGGTTACTAGAGGCTTGAGCATATCCAGCAAGCTATGTTAGATCAGAGTGGAGACTAGTAATTTTTATGGCTTGAGGTGCTGTTTGAATGCAAGCAAGTTAACAATCATGAAAAGACTCAGGGAAACCATTTAGCTGGACCTGAATGCTGGATACAGGAATTACAGTGCCTCTTCCCTGAAGGAGGGAGCAGGGTTGTTGCAGTTTAAAGGGTCATGTAAATTGAGATGTCTTTTCACTTCTGAATAAAGAATGTAGTTAAATTGTATTGAATACTATAGTTTAACTACAGTATTTACAGGATCTCTTTTAAAAAAATTGGGAATTTGAATCTTGGATCCTGAAGTGTCTCCTGGTGTCACAAAATTTAAAAAAAAAAAAATTCTTATGAAATGATAGAGAATCTTTTCCCGAATGTAATGACACCAAAAACATGAAATTTGATGTAAAACTGACGGAATTACGCTCTCGCGAAGTTAGCGGCCTCGGCGATATTTACAAATTGGCAATTTCACCCACTTTGAGCCCTATTTTTGGCTAATTCCATTGTTCCAGTCGACCAAACTCATAACTATTTTTTTAGAAATCCATTTTTTCTATTGATTGAGTACGAGAAACTGCCCATTTACCGATTTCAACTACCCAATAACGTGGTCAGAAATTTGCAATTTGGCCAATGTCACGAAAATTAAAAAATATGACAATTTTAAAATAAGGTCCAGAATGAACAATGCAGACATTTCTGGCTCTAAAATAACAGTTTCTTTGTTCATCAGTCACGTCTCCAGGCCCCTCTGATATTACTCTTGCTTTCTATTTTGAATTTTTATTCAAACAAAAAATAGAAGATTTACTGTTATGCAGACTACTGCAATACTGAAATAATTGTATAAATAACATCAACCCATTCATGACTGCATATTAGAATGGCTAGTTGGACATTTATTGGACAATGATATCATTTGCTTACTTTTGAACATCGGCAAAAATCAAACATTTCCCCTACTTTGAGCTCCATTTCCAGGTTCTTTTTATAGTAAAATCAATCAAAATCATCTCTATTTCTATAATATGTTTTCCATTCTATCAAATGAGACCAAGAAAACGAGAATACAACCATAAATACTATACGAAAATAGACCACAAAGTCAGCATTTTAATTTAAAAAACGGTCAGTTTTTTTTTTTTTCTCATTATGCACTGCATGCTCCAGGATTTTTTTTTATATGGTGCACACTGACCACACAGACCCATTCTCTCACATGTGGGCCTACCAGCTTTCTCCTGCTTGATTTGAAGCCGCTAGAATTTATGAGTATATATATGTCAAGCACGGTACCTCGTAAGACATATATATACGACCTTGACAGTCAGAGGGTTAAAGGAGGGGTTTAGGATATTGGGAGTTTGGAGGGATGTCTAAACTGTCGTATCTGAGTGCCTCTGCAAAAACAGTTATTATGTATGAGTGATGGTGAAAATGTTGAATGATGAAAAAAAAAACAACTTTGCAATCAATTATCAACATGGCAATGAAGCATTGTAAATAGTAAAGGCAAACTAAACATCTGAGTTTTTGTAAGAAAAATGCCTTAAAACATTGATATAATAAAGTATTGTTATATTTATAGTTAAGTGCTAAACCCATGTGGGTTCTTTAGCACCAGGAGTGGTGAAGGGTCAAGCCTCTTCCACGAAGTATGACACAGACACTATCCATCTGTGCTTGTGTAATTAACTGTCTTAAAAACTGGTAGAAACAAGATTTAACTCTAGGTTGGGCCTTGTTATGATGAAGTTCTGTCTACCCTGAGCAAATGCTATCTATAATAAATATTTGTTCTGCACCAAGTGTTTATGTACCATACTTATTGGCAATACCTGACATCATTTATTCCATTCTGACTTTTATCACTTTTTATCTATGTAAAAAATTATTTATCAGTATATGTAGTGTTTAAGGAAATTTTTGTCATAGTTCTGATGAGTTCATTCTTACTGCTCGCAACTCCTCGTATGTTAAGGACAGTTTAACCCGTAAACGGTCCAAGCAGATCTACGTTCACATGCATAATGCTCCAAAAGTAGATCTACTTTTTTTTTACATATTTTCAAATATAACAAAAAAAAAAGGTAGATCAAAGTTTTTTACACTTTTCAAATGTAAAAAAAAAAAGAAGAGCTACTTTTTTACATATTATCAAATGTTGAAAAAACGTATATATACGTTTGGACAGTTTACGGGTTAATAGTTAACCCTTTCACTCTCATGTAGATCTATGTCATTATGCCAGTGCTGCTCATGTAGATCTTCATTTTAAGCAAAACTCCCTCAGATATGCTGTGAGCAGTAAATTTTGACCTTGGCATGAGAAAATGGGTCTTTGCTGTGAATGTGCACAGTATAAAAAATCCTGCCCCAGGCAATACATGATGGGAAAAGCAAATCTCTGACCTTGTGTATGGTTTTAACCCTTTCAGGGTCGGCAGGGCCTCTCCTAAACTTGTTCTCAGGGTCGGAAATTTTTCGAAAAAAAAAAAAATTATTTTTTCTTATGAAATGATAGAGAATCTTTTCCCAATCATAATGACACCAAAAGTATGAAATTTGATGGAAAACTTAAAGATTTATGCTCTCGCGAAGTTAGCAGTTTTAACGATGCTTATGCATCGGCGATTTTGCCCATTTTGAGCCCTATTTTCAGCCAATTCCAATGTACCAGTCGACAAAAATCATACCTATTTCGTTAGAACTCCATTTTTACTATCGAATGAGTACAAGAAACCACCCATTTACCAATTTCTACTATCCAGTAATGTGGTCAGAAATTGGCATTTTTGCCAATTTCACACAAATTTTGAAAGATGCAAATTTCTAAATAGGGTCCAGAATAAACAAGACAGACATTTCTGGCATTAAAATAACATTTCCTCTGTTCATTACTCATGTCCCCAGGTCTCTGTTACATTTCTTTTGCTTTCCACTTTGAATTTTTATTCCCACAAAAAATAGAAGATTTATGTTATGCAGACTACTGCATTTGTGTAGAAATGGTATAAATAATATCAGGGCACTTGTGAAAGAATATTACACTCACCAGTTGATGTGTATTGGATGCGTGGCATGATTTGTTTACCTTTGAACTTTGGCAAAAATCAAACATTTCTGCTACTTTGAGCTCAATTTCAAGGTACTTTTCATTGTGAAACCAATTAAAATCATCTCAATTTCCATAATATGTCTTCCATTCTTTAAAATGAGACCAGGAAACCTAAAATACAAGTATAAATAGCATATGAAAATACACTTCAAAGTCACTGTTTTAAACCAAAAACACAGTCGGAGTTTTTTTTTTCTCATTATGCATTGTGTGCTGCAGGATTTTTTTTATACCCCACACACTGACCACATAGGCCCATTCTTTCATATGTAAGCCTATCAGCTTTCTCTCGCTAGATTTAAAGGTGCTAGAATTTATGCGTACTAGTATGGCACCAACCCTGGCGTGCCAGCCGTACGGCACCAGCCCTGAAAGGGTTAAATACACAGTGGAACCTCAGTTTTCATATGCCTTAGTTTGTATGTAAAACTGTATTATTCTCTATAAAATGTATTTTATGTTAATATTTCCCATAAAAGAAAAGGTGAAGAGAGTGGTGAGAGAGTGCAAAAGGAGAGCAGATGATAGAGTGGGAGAGGCATTGTCAAGAAATTTTAACGAAAATAAGAAAAAATTTTGGAGCGAGTTAAACAAGTTAAGAAAACCTAGGGAACGAATGGATATGTCACTTAAAAACAGAGTAGGGGAGTTAGTAGATGGGGAGATGGAGGTATTAGGTAGATGGCGAGAATATTTTGAGGAACTTTTAAATGTCGACGAAGAAAGGGAGGCGGTAATTTCATGCACTGGCCAGGGAGGTATACCATCTTGTAGGAGTGAAGAAGAGCAGGATGTGAGTGTGGGGAGGTGCATGAGGCATTATGTAGAATGAAAGGGGGTAAAGCAGCTGGAACTGCCTGGATCATGACAGAAATGTTAAAAGCAGGGGGGGATGTAGTGTTGGAGTGATTGGTATTTTTGTTTAATAAATGTATGAAAGAGGGGAAGGTACCTAGGGATTGGCAGAGAGCATGTATAGTCCCTTTATATAAAGGGAAGGGGGACAAAAGAGTTTGTAAAAATTATAGAGGAATAAGTTTGTAGATGAATGGTTCA